GTTGTACCCCATATTGGCTACCCCACTACAGCCTACAAGCATAATACAGTTTAACATCATCTCCTTTCGCACGCGAGTACCAATTACATTGTCCATTTGAAGCAATTCCAACTTAAACATTTTGAAGAATATATTTGATGGGCACGAAGAGAAGCGTGCATCTTGGTTGAGTAGCTCCCACTTGGCAATTTCACGATAATTTAATGATGATGTGTCAACGCCAGTTAAGCGAGCTTCTCCACAAAATAATGTTGGAAATGCTAATTCTTCGACAAATTTGTCCATGAGTATGGGCATCGGTCTCGATCCTTCGCCAGGTGCCATCTCCACTACGAATTGCTCCAGATTTTGATAAAGCGGCTCGTTGCAAAGTATCGTATCCAATATGCCAACGTTAAGGTAAGTTTCGTCGATGTCTAGTTCCACCTCCTCATCCGATAAACCCAAATCTCTCTCACGAGATTGTCCGTCATCTGTGGCTTGATCTTGTGATAAAAACTCGTCGTGAAGTTCCCTATCAAGAATCTCTTGTTGCAATTCTGACATCCTTTCCTCATCCAGCGTGATTCCATGATGTTTGAAAAGATCTTTCTTTTCAAGAAACGAAAGGGCGCGCAAAATCTTGGCGGGCCTCACGTTGTCGTCAAATACGTTATGCGTATTACACAATTTGCGTTTGAAACGAACGCGCACTGAATGCGCTTCTTGTGGTAAACGAGGTAATGCAGTCACCATGTCAACAACTTTAACAGGAACATTCACTATCCCACCTCGTATCTTGTATTGTTTTCCCACGTGACTTTGTGTAATGCTTGAAAACACAATACGTGGTGAAATTAACCGCTCCTCCAAATTTGACAATCCTGAAAGATCGTCGTGACGTTTCGGCAACAAAGCACCTGCCATTCGTGAAAGAATTGGAATTTTGTTGTTTGCAATGTCATTTTTGCAACCATTGCAAACGTTTTTCAATTGTGGAAAGTCTGAACTTTCCAATTTGGACAATTGGCGCCTGAACATTAACTTGTCGCAACTGTCGCACCCGAATATTGGACCTTCCTTGGAAGCTTCTTCAAATCGACCTTTAGCTTGCTCCACGCTTTGCGAATGCGTGTGTTCTTCGTTGAAGCGCTCTTCAACATCAGCAAACAATGCATCCAAATGATCATTGTGAATCAACGCGCCGTCGTTGTAATACTTGTCAGAATATTATGCTCTAGCCTGTAGTGGGGTGCTCTATAGCGAGTACAACCCTTCTAGGGTTTGCTATTTGTATCCCCATTCTTGCTAGTGCAACCCCTCCTTTGCTTGTTTCTCTCTTGCCTAGCTAGGGTTTACCTAGCTATGGCTCATGATTCTAGCTCCTATTTTGACATGCTATCAGAGCGGTTCGACCCCCTTGGGTCGATCCTGTGGGTGGGCCCACCACCTAATGCTTCCGCTGCTGTTCTACTTGTCGCGCGCCTTGGTCGCGCGACGCCGACTTCCTGCCGCGGTTTTCTGCCCGCCGTGCGCCCCGAGGCGCGCGGCGGTTTCCTACCGTAGAGGACCCCCACGCGCCCCCGCCCTGTCCGTTGCGGCGCCCTGGGGACCCGCGCGCAGCCCCCGCTGCCCCGTCGGCGGTCGCGTCGCCCCGCCACCCCGTCGCGCCGCCCTGGGGAGTGTGGGGGTGGCGCGTGTGGGGGTGCCGGTTGTGTGCCCCGTCCCCTCCTTCTCCTCCTCCTCCGTCTCCCGCTGCTGCAGCTGCCGCTCAGGGGGGTGGGTGTGTGGGGAGCCGACGGAGTGGTACTAGGGGGGTGAAAGGGGAGTGGAGCTAGGGGCGAAGCAGGGGGTGTGTGTCGAGGGGTGTGGGACTGTTGGGGGAGGTTGAGCGGAGGCCGCCGTCGTGTCGTCTGCAGCGCCTGTATTCCGGGGTTCTGATAGCCACCGGTAGCTCAGAGAGCCGGTTGCACCTGTCGCCCGTGGGTCCGTTGCTCCTGTCGCTGCTGATCAGACGCAGAGCCTGTTACTCCTGTATTCCGGGGCCCTTGCTCCCGGTAGCCACTAGAGCTGCACCAGAGCCGTCTGTTGCCCGTGTGTCTGCAGCTTCAGTCGTCGCCTCCACTCTTCTCTCCTCTCGCCAGCCCTCCTCCTCCTCACTTGCCCTCTGTGACTGCCTCTAGCTTTGCTCATAAAATGTGAACTACTATTATGACTGCTTGTTGTGCTGATTACACCCCACTTTGGCTATGGGGGTGTGTCAGAATGTTGTATTTGTCTAGCCTGCAGTGGGGTACTCTATAGCGAGTACAGCCCAATCTAAGGTTTGCTATTTGTATCTCAACTGCTGCTAGTCCAAACCCTTTTCTGCTTCTAAACTTTCTCCTACTACTTCGACATTGCGCTCCTGGCCTGTGGGCCCGCCTGCTTCCGCTGCCTTCCTGTGTGTCGCGCGTCCCGTGGCGCGCGATGTTCGTTTTTTCTTCCCGCCGCGCGCTCGGGGCGCGCGGCGGTTTTCTGCCCGCCGTGCGCCCCGAGGCGCGCGGCGGTTTCCCACCGTCGAAGCGCCCCCCGTCGCCCGTCGAAGCGCCCCCCGTCGCCCGTCGAAGCGCTCCCCCCCGTCGCCCGTCGAAGCGCCCCCGTCGCCCGTCGGAGCGCCCCCCGTCGCCCGTCGAAACGCCCCCGTCGCCCGTCGAAGCGCCCCTGGGACCCGCGCGCGGCCCGTACGGGCTGCGCCAGGCCCGCGCGCGGCTCGTATGGGCTGCGCCAGGCCCGCGCGCGGCCCGTACAGCCCGCGCGCGGCCCGTACGGCCTGCGCCAGGCCCGCGCGCGGCCCGTACGGGCTGCGCCAGGCCCGCGCGCGGCCCGGGCAGCCCGCGCGCGCCTCGTCCGGCCTGCGGCAGGCCCGTGCGCGCGCCTCGTCCGTCCCCCGAGCTTCTGCCGGCGCCCCACCCCCGCTACTGCCCGCGTTCCTGTGTTAGGGTTTGGGGGTGGAGGGTATGGGGGTGCCGTGAGTGTGAGCCGTCCCCTGCTCCTCCTCCTCCTCCGTCTCCCACTGCTGCAGCTGCCGCTGAGGGGGGTGGGTGTGTGGGGAGCCGAAGGAGTGGTGCTAGGGGGGTGACGTGGGAGTGGAGTTAGGGGTTGCAGCAGGGGGTGTGTGTTGGGGGGTGTGGGACAGTTGGAGGAGGTTGGGTGGAGGCAGCCATCGTGTTGTCTGCAGCGCCTGTATTCCGGGGTTCTGATAGCCACCGGTAGCTCAGAGAGCCGGTTGCACCTGTCGCCCGTGGGTCCGTTGCTCCTGTCGCTGCTGATCAGACGCAGAGCCTGTTACTCCTGTATTCCGGGGCCCTTGCTCCCGGTAGCCACTAGAGCTGCACCAGAGCCGTCTGTTGCCCGTGTGTCTGCAGCTTCAGTCGTCGCCTCTACTCCTCTCTCCCCTCACCAGCCCTCCTCCTCCTCACTTGCCCTCTGTGACTACCTCTAGCTTTGCTCATAATTGTGAACTTTAAACTATTGCTTCTTGAACTTGTGCTCAGAATGTGTGGTGACATTGTGATCCACCCTGAGCTTGTACTGCTTTGCTTGCTCTGCTGATTACACCCCACTTTGGCTATGGGGTGTTAAGTTGTAATGTGTTATATGTTGGTAGGCTGTAGTGGGGTAGCTGATATGGGGTACAACCCCAACTAGGGTTTGCTACTTGTACCCAATTCTCCCATTCAATGCATCATTCTTGCCTAGTTCTTCTAACATGGTATTCAGAGCAGGAGGTCCCTAGGACCTACCGACCGTTTTTTTTTTAAGGGCCCACCACCGCTCGCATGCGGTTACCACGCTACCCCGTGCCCTAGCCTCGTAGCGCCCTCGTGCGCCCTCGTTAGCGCCCTCGTGCGTCCTCGTTAGCGCCCTCGCGCGCCCTCGTTAGCGCCCTCGTGCGCCTCTCGTTAGCGCCCTCGCGCGCCCTCGCTAGCGCCCTCGTGCGCCTCTCGTTAGCGCCCTCGCGCGCCCCTCGCAGCGTCGCCCGCCCGCCGAGCCGCCCGCTCGCAGCGTCGCCCGCCTACCGCGCTGCCCGTTTCGCAGCCCGCCCGCCGAGCCGCCTGCTCGCAGCGTCGCCCGCCCGCCCGCTGCCCGCTTGCAGCGTCGCCCGCCCGCCCGCTGCCCGCTTCGCAGCGTCGCCCGCCCGCCGCGCTGCCCGCTCGCAGCGTCGCCCGCCCGCCTCGCTGCCCGCTTGCAGCGTCGCCCGCCCGCCCGCTGCCCGCTTCGCAGCCCGCCCGCCCGCTCGCTGCCCGCTCGCAGCGTCGCCCGCCCGCCCGCTGCCCGCTTGCAGCGTCGCCCGCCCGCCCGCTGCCCGCTTGCAGCGTCGCCCGCCCGCCTCGCTGCCCGCTTGCAGCGTCGCCCGCCCGCCCGCTGCCCGCTTCGCAGCGTCGCCCGCCCGCCCGCTGCCCGCTTCGCAGCCCGCCCGCCGCGCTGCCCGCTCGCCGCGTCGCCCGCCCGCCCCGCTGCCCGCTTCGCAGCCCGCCCGCCGCACTTCCCGCCTGCAGCGCCGCCTGCCCACCGCGCTGCCCGCTTCGTAGCCCGCCCCCCGCACTGCCCGCTCGCCGCGTCGCCCGCCCGCCGCGCTTCCCGCCGAGCTACCTACCTGCAGCGCTGCGGCAGCGTCCCTGCTCAGTCGCACTGTCCCTATGGCTTCCATCCGCGTGCTGTCGTTCGATGCTGAGGGCCGCCCTGTGAAGTTCGCCACTTGGCTGGATGACCTGCAGCTGTTCCTTCTGAGCGATAGCAAGGAGCATGTGTCGCTCTATGATTACGCGTCTGGTGCTGCACCTGCCCCTCCTGCCACAGCTGAGCTTAGTGTTCGTTCCCACTGGCAGACTCGTGACGCAGCTGCTCGCCTAGCCATTCGCAGTCACCTCCCGCTAGCTGAGCTAGAGCATTTTGGCGACTGCAAATCCGCTAAGGCCCTGTACGATGCTGTCGTTGCTCGCTACTCCTCACCTGCCACAGCCGAGCTTAGCCGCCTCATGCTGCCGTACCTGTTCCCTGATCTGTCCGCCTTTGCTACAGTCGCCGATCTTATCACCCACCTTCGCACTAGTGATGCTCGCCTGCGTGCTGCCCTTCCCACCGAGTTCTGCGCTAAGAACCCCCCTCCACTGTACTGGACACTCCACTTCATAGTCACCCGACTCCCTGACACCCTCAGCTCAGTTCGAGACCACTTCCTTGCTCGCTGTCCCACTGAGCTCACAGTCGCCCTCCTAGAGGAGCAGCTGCTAGCGGCCGAAAAGAGCATTGTAGCTGTCGGTGCTGCTCGTGGCGCTCCTCGCACCCCCATCTTTGAGGGGTGTTCTCCCTCTCCCCTCGCTCCCTCCTACGCTACTGCTGCTGCTGTTGACTTCCTTGGTGCTGAGTCTGCTGGCGCTGCTTCTGCTCCTGGTGGGAGGCGCCGCACCGGCAAGGGCAAGGGGGGCAAGGGTGGCGGGGGTGGCGCTGGGGGGGGAGGAGGTGGGGGAGGTGGGGGGGGAGGCGGTGCTGGAGGGAGCGGTGGCGGGAGTGCTGGTGGGAGTGGGGTCGGCAGCGGAGGCGGGGGCGGCGGAGGGAGCGGTGGCGGTGGTGGCGGCGGCGGCGGTGGCGGCGGCGGCGGCGGTGGCGGCGGCGGCGGTGGCGGTCGGAGCGGAGGTAGTGGTGGTGGCGGAGGTCGGAGTGGAGGCACTGGCTCGGGCCAGAGCTCCCAGCAGCAGCAGCGTCCCCAGACGACCCAGCAGCTTCGTGAGTGGCTTGCTCAGCGTGGGACGTCGGGGGCAATGGCTGCTGTTCCTATGTCATTCGCACAGGTGACCGCAAGGGACAGACGTGTGGGAGGTTCCACACCCCGTACCGCTGCTTCTCCCGCCTTGATGACGCTTGGCGTGAGGAGATGGGCGAGGATGTTGAGCGCCCCCGCTGGGCTGAGCTCATGAGGGCTGGTGTTGATATCTTTGCTCTTGACTATGATGCTATTATTGCTGCCATGTATGCATTGACTGTTAGTGCCGAGGGAGACTGTTACTTGTGTGTGCCGCCTGACCCAGGTATAGAGCCCGCTGCCCTGGGTACTAGTGAGTCTGCTCTCTCTGGTATGGTGCCCCCTGTACTTGCCCCCTCCAGTGCTGTCCCGGCTGTTTGCGAGTCTGCTCTCTCAGGTACAGCACCCACAGAGACTGCTCTCTCAGGTACCGCACCGGCTGAGGCCTGTCACACCTTCACCCTTGACTCAGGTGCTTCCCGCTGTTTCTTTCGTGACAGTACTGAGCTCACACCGCTTCCTGCACCGGTCCCAGTCTCCTTGGCTGACCCCTCTAGGGGCCCAGTCCTTGCCCAGTCCACCACTGTGCTCCCTTGTCCGGCGGTTCCGTCTGGCTCGTTGTCGGGTTTCCACCTCCCCTCGTTCTCGACGAACCTGGTGAGCAACGCTGTCATCCAGGATCAGTGGGTTGACACCTTTACCCCTGGAGGACAGCGTGTGGCAATCTGCACGTGCTCCAGGACCGGCCGTCACCTGGCTACGTTTACCCGTCGGCCGGGGTCGAGTCTCTACACACTGACCACTGCGTCTCCTCAGGTTGCTGCTGTCGGTCAGGTGTCCGCGTCAGGTCTGGTGGCCCACGCCTGTGAGTGTCGTTCCCTGTCGCACCAGACTCTTCTCTGGCACCACCGCCTGGGTCACCCCTCCTTGCCACGCCTTCGTGGCATGCACCGTCGCTGCCTTGTGTCTGGTCTTCCCAGGTCCCTCCCTCCCCTCCCTGCCTCGCCTGCGCCGCCTTGCCTTCCTTGCGTCGAGGGACGGCAGCGCGCCGCTCCTCACTCCTCCTCGTTTCCCCCGACAGAGGCTCCTCTGCAGACCCTCCACCTGGACGTGTGGGGCCCAGCCCGCGTTCGTGGCCAGGGCGGTGAGCGGTACTTTTTGCTGGTTGTCGACGACTACTCGCGTTACACCACGGTCTTCCCCTTGCGCACCAAGGGTGAGGTCCCTGCTGTTCTGATCCCTTGGATCTGCACGGTTCGTCTCCAGCTCCGCCGCCGTTTCCGGATGGATCTTCCTGTCCTGCGTCTGCACTCTGACAGAGGTGGTGAGTTTTCCTCCGATCTCTTGAGGACCTTCTGTCAGGCGGAGGGCATCGAGCAGACCTTCACGCTTCCGGACTCCCCACAGCAAAATGGGGTTGCTGAGCGCCGCATTGGCCTGGTCATGGAGGTCGCTCGTACCTCCTTGGTCCACGCGGCGGCTCCCCATTTTCTGTGGCCGTTTGCGGTCCGGTACGCCGCGCATCAGCTCAACCTCTGGCCCCGTGTCTCCTTGCCGGAGACCTCGCCCACACTGCGTTGGACGGGGGAGGTTGGTGATGCGTCGCGCTTCCGGGTGTGGGGTGCTCGTGCCCTTGTCCGCGATACGTCCGCGGACAAGCTCTCCTCCCGCACCATTCCCTGTGTCTTCCTTGGCTTTGTCCCTGACGCGCCGGGCTGGCAGTTTTACCACCCCACCTCTCGCCGGGTCTTCGCCTCTCAGGACGTCACCTTTGACGAGTCGGTCCCTTTTTACCGTCTCTTCCCCTACCGCACTGCCCCCCTCCCTCCCCCGCCGCTTTTCCTTGCTCCTGGTCCCCCTCCGGTAGACCCCCTTCCCCCTCAGGGTCCTGCCCCTTCAGGTGTCTCTCAGGTAGACCCTCCTCCCGTCGCTGAGCCTGTCGAGGTCACAGGTGACTCAGGTGCTGCTGCAGGTGGTGCTGCTGGGAGTGCTGAGCCTGGGGGTGCTGAGCCTGCGGGTGCTGGGCCTGGGAGTGCTGGGACTGCGGGTGCTGGAGCTGAGGGTACTGTGCCTGGGAGTTCGGCGCCTGGGGGTGCTGAGCCTGGGGGTGCTACGACTGGGGGTGCTGAGCCTGCGTGTACGGAGTCTGGGGGTGCCGAGCCTGGGGGTACTGCGCCTGAGGGTACTGAGCCTGGGGGTGCTGCTACTGAGCCTACGGAGCCTGGGTTCCTGCGTCTGGGAGTTCGGCGCCTGGGGGTGCTGAGCCTGGGGGTACTGTGACTGGGAGTGCTGTGCCTGCGGGTACTGAGCCTGGGGGTGCTGCTACTGAGCCTACGGAGCCTCGGGTTGCTGTGTCTGGGGGTGCTCCGGTTCGGGGTGCTGAGCAGTCTCTCACACCGCAGCAGCTTCGTGACTGGTACGTCCGGCGCTTTCGCCGTCCTTGTGGCTCGGCTGGAGCTGGGGGTGCTGGAGCTGCTCGTCCTGGGGGTGCTGGAGCTGCCGGGACTGGTTGTTCTGGGAGCGCTACGACTGGAGCTGGGGACTCTGGAGCTGGCGGTGCTAGCGGAGTTGGAGCTGCCGACTCTGGGGGTGCTCTTCCTAGCGGTGCTGCGGACCCTCGGGGTGGCGCTGCTGCTGGTGCTGCGGACCCACCTGGTGGAGCTGCTGCTGGTGCTGAGGACTCGGTCGTTGGAGCTCCTGCTGGTACTGAGGACCCGGCCGCTGGAGTCTCTTCTGCTTCTGGAGACGTTGCGCGGCCGCGACCGTACTTCGTACCGCTCCTTCAGCAGGTTCTTGGGCAGGCTCCTCCTCCTTGTCCTCCTCCCTCCGTAGAGTGTCCTCCGCCTGTCCAGCCGCAGTCACAGTTACTGCCTGCCTCGCCTCTCCCTGCTCCCTCTCCTTACACTGGTCCCATAGGAGGTCTTACAGAGCGTCGTGAGCCTGAGTCTCGTCCTGCGTCGCCTGTTCGTACTGCTCGCACTGGCCGTCGTGTCCGTCGTGAGCGTCCCCCTCCTGTCCCCGGCACTCACTACATGACTCTGCGTCCCTCTACTGCTCCTCAGCGTGTCCCTCTACCGTCTCCTCCTGCGTCCTCTTTGCCTGCCGTTCCGGACCCTGAGTCTGACCAGTATCGTGCTGAGCACCCTACTGTCACGCGTCTCCTAGCTACTGTTGTCACTGACCCTACATTTGAGTCCTCTGCTACGTCTGCTCTGGTCGCTGAGTTGGTTGACTTTGCTGCTGCCTGTCGTCTAGACTACGCTGCTAGCCTTGTTGCTGAGTCTGAGTCTGCGTCTGTCTGTCCTCCGTCCGTCGGGGGTGAGTGTGCTCTTGGCACGGACGTCCTTGAGGACAGGCAGGAGGACTTTGACTCTCTCGCGGCTGCTGTACCTCATCTCGTGGCCTGGTTGCTTGCCCCTGAGGGAGACCCGGATGCACTAGACATCCCCACTCCGCGCACTTACGCAGAGGCGATCTCGGGTCCCTACTCCTCTCAGTGGCAGACAGCCATGGACGCAGAGATGGCATCCTGGAAGTCCACAGGCACCTACGTCGACGAGGTTCCCCCTCCTGGGGCGAACATCGTCGATGGCATGTGGATTTTCAGGGTGAAGCGGCCGCCGGGTTCTCCGCCTGTCTTCAAGGCTCGTTACGTTGCTAGAGGCTTCAGTCAGCGTCAGGGGGTTGACTTCTTCCAGACCTTCTCCCCCACCCCGAAGATGACCACTCTTCGGGTTCTGCTGCACATTGCTGCTCAGCGTGACTACGAGCTTCACTCTCTTGACTTCAGCACAGCGTTCCTGCAGGGCAGCCTGCACGAGGAGATCTGGCTGCGCCGCCCACCTGGCTTTACTGGGTCGTTTCCTCCTGGTACCCAGTGGAGCCTCCGCCGGCCAGTCTACGGTCTCCGCCATGCGCCACGTGAGTGGCACGACACACTGAGGACTACACTTGCGGCTCTTGGGTTCGCGCCGTCTACTGCTGACCCGTCGCTGTTTCTGCGCACAGACACGTCACTGCCGCCGTTCTACATTCTCGTGTACGTCGACGACTTGGTCTTTGCTACTGCTGACACTGAGGCACTCGCTCGTGTGAAGTCGGAGCTGCAGAAGAGACACACCTGCACTGACCTGGGTGAACTGCGTAGCTACCTTGGCTTGCAGATCACTCGGGACAGAGCTCGCCGCACCATCACCCTGACTCAGTCACACATGGTGCAGCAGGTCCTTCAGCGCTTCGGCTTCCAGTTCTCCTCACCACAGGCCACACCTCTGGCTACCAGCCACTCGCTCTCAGCTCCACCTTCGGACGAGTCCGTAGAGCCGAGTGGCCCGTACCCAGAGCTTGTAGGCTGCCTCATGTACCTGATGACTTGCACACGACCTGACCTCGCGTACCCTCTTAGCATCCTTGCTCGTTACGTTGCGCCTGGGAGACACAGGAGAGAGCACTGGGAGGCTGCTAAGAGGGTGCTGCGTTACTTGTGCAGTACATCAGGCATGGGGCTGGTGCTTGGAGGACACGACAGAGTTGTTCTCACTGGTCACTCGGACGCTTCTTGGGTGGACGACTTGGCTACGCAGCGGTCGTCGCAGGGTTACACCTTCAGCCTTGGCTCTGGTTCTGTCTCGTGGCGGTCCACCCGTTCTTCTTCTGTTCTCAGCTCTAGTTGTGAGGCTGAGATCTACGCCACGGCCATGGCTGCACAGGAGTTACGCTGGCTCACCTACCTGCTGACTGACTTGGGAGAGCGGCCTAGTTCTCCTCCAGTTCTGTACGGCGACAACAAGGCGGCCCTTGCCTTGTGTCAGGAGCACAGACTGGAGCACAGGACGAAGCACATTGCTCTTCGCTACTTTCTTGCTCGAGAGCTGCAGCAGCGAGGTCAGCTTCGGCTTGTGTACGTGGACTCGAAGGCCAACACTGCTGATATCTTCACCAAGGCGCTCCCGCCTAGTGATCATCAGCGGCACTGTACTTCTTTAGGCCTTGTGTCCACGTTTCCTCACTTGCTTACTGCTTGACATTCTTTGTACTGTACTTTATATATATCCTGTTGCTTGCCTTGTACTATATCTAGCACTGCATGTGAACTGGCCTTGTGGCCTTTGCTTGTGCTCGGAGTGTGGTGACTTTGTGATCCACCCTGGGCTTGCGTTGCTTTGCTGGACTGGTCTTGTGACCCTTTGCTCTCCCCCACTTTGCCTATGGGGTGTGTTAAGTTGTAATGTGTTATATGTTGGTAGGCTGTAGTGGGGTAGCTGATATGGGGTACAACCCCAACTAGGGTTTGCTACTTGTACCCAATTCTCCCATTCAATGCATCATTCTTGCCTAGTTCTTCTTGTTAAACTGTAGTATGCTTGTAGGCTGTAGTGGGGTAGCCAATATGGGGTACAACCCCAACTAGGGTTTCACATTTGTACCCAAACTTCTGCTAGTTCATCATTCTTGCCTAGTGATTCTGACATGGTATTCAGAGCAGGAGGTCCCTAGGACCTACCGATCGTTTTTTTTTAGGGCCCACCACCGCTCGCATGCGGTTACCACGCTACCCCGTGCCCTAGCCTCGTAGCGCCCTCGTGCGCCCTCGTTAGCGCCCTCGCGCGCCCCTTGCTAGCGCCCTCGCGCGCCCCTCACTAGCGCCCTCGCGCGCCCCTCACTAGCGCCCTCGCGCGCCCCTCGCCGAGCCGCCCGCTCGCAGCCCGCCCGCCCGCTCGCTGCCCGCTTCGCGGCCCGCTCGCTACGCAGCCCGCCCGCCCGCTCGCTGCCCGCTTCGCGGCCCGCCCGCTTCGCTGCCCGCTCGCTGCCCGCTTCGCGGCCCGCCCGCTTCGCAGCCCGCTCGCTCGCTGCCCGCTTCGCGGCCCGCCACTTCGCAGCCCGCCCGCCCGCTCGCTGCCCGCTTCGCGGCCCGCCCGCCTCGCAGCCCGCTCGCCCCGCTGCCCGCTTCGCGGCCCGCCCACTTCGCAGCCCGCCCGCCCGCTCGCTGCCCACTTCGCGGCCCGCTCGCATCGCAGCCCGCTCGCCCGCTGCCCGCTTCGCAGCCCGCCCGCCCGCTCGCTTTGCGGCCCGCCCGCCTCGCAGCGTCGCCCGCCCGCCGTGCTGCCCGCTTGCAGCGCCGCCTGCCCGCCGCGCTGCCCGCTTCCCGGCCCGTCCGCCGCGCTGCCCGCTCGCAGCGTCGCCCTCCCGTCGCACTGACCGCTTGCAGCGCCGCCTGCCCGTAGCGCCAGCCTCGCCCGCTGCTCTCTATCCGTGCACAGTCGCCTTCCCCTGCTGCGGCAGCTTGCGTTACTCTGTCACACTGTCGCTATGGCTTCCATTCGCGTGCTGTCGTTCGATGCTGAGGGCCGCCCTGTGCGTTTCACCGCTTGGCTAGATGACCTGCAGCTGTTTCTCCTGAGCGATAGCAAGGAGCATGTGTCGCTCTATGACTACGCGTCTGGTGCTGCGCCTGCCCCTCCTGCCACAGCTGAGCTTAGTGTTCGTTCCCACTGGCAGACTCGTGACGCAGCTGCTCGCCTAGCCATTCGCAGTCACCTGCCGTTAGCTGAGCTAGAGCATTTTGGCGACTGCAAATCCGCTAAGGCCCTGTACGACGCTGTCGTCGCTCGCTACTCCTCGCCTGCCACAGCCGAGCTTAGCCGCCTCATGCTGCCGTACCTGTTCCCCGATCTGTCCACCTTTACTACAGTCGCCGATCTTATCACCCACCTTCGCACTAGTGATGCTCGCCTGCGTGCCGCCCTTCCCACCGAGTTCTGCGCTAAGAACCCCCCTCCCCTGTACTGGACACTCCACTTCATAGTCACCCGTCTCCCTGACACCCTCCGCTCAGTTCGAGACCACTTCCTTGCTCGCTGTCCCACTGAGCTCACAGTCGCCCTCCTAGAGGAGCACCTGCTCGCGGCCGAAAAG